GCCTGCAACACCCTTTTTCGCCCCTGCCCCTTTTTGTGATGGTTTGGGTCACTTCTGGGTCCTGTGAGATATGTGTCCAGTCATGCACATATTGGATGCATCTGAAATGGTTGCTGCCTGTAACAGGTTCTAAATGGTGTGCACTACATTCATCTGAAGTTTCTAAACCTTACAGGAAGGGTGAATTTTATTTAAATCACGATTTAAATCATGATTTAAATCACTAGTCAGTAAGACTTGATTTAAATAAATAAAGACATTCTTGCTGGTATAATCTTAATATTTACAACCAGATGAATGTTTCATTTTTGGAATAATAAATTTTCAGAGTAGTTTTTACAGTTATATCAAAAATTACTGATTTGGTTATACTATTAGAAATATAAAGACCGATAATTATGAAATTATTGTGAGGTTTAACAAGTTAACTGTTTATATTTGGACAGCTTTTCTGCTGTACTTTATTGAAAGGAGAAAAATAATCATTTCCTTAATAACAATTTTAATAATTTATTTAACTAAAGCAATAACATTATAGCATAATAAACTTATTTTAGCACACATGAAAAACTTAAAACAAATCCTTATTTCCTGATGAATAGCTTTTGGATTATAATGTAACTTAAATAGAAAACTATAGGAAGATTTTTCCTCCAAAAGCATTTTATTTTAAAAATCCAATTTAAATTTTAAAAAAATCCGATTTAAATTAATTTTTTTAATTTTTTTTTAAAAAAACATTGTTTCCCCCCCCCCATCCCGCATACAAGCCAGTCTTAGCTTACATGAGGGAGTGTTTTATGGAAATCCTACATAGATGGCACTGCACACCAGTGCAAACTGCCCATATGGCATCACAATCTTCTCAGAACTGTTGGGAAAAGAGGCACCTTTCCCATTTATCGTGGGGCTGCTCACAGGGTTGTTGTGGGGATTAAATGAAGAGGGGAAGAACCAAGAGGAAGGCACATTTGGCAAACCCCCAACATGATCAACTCCCGCCCAGAAACCTATGTACCCACTGTGGAAGGACGTGTGGATCCAGAATTGGCCTCCACAGTCTCTTACGGACTCACTGCTAAGACCGTTTTCATGGAAGACAATCTTACTCGGCTACGAGTGACAGCCAAAGATGAAGAAAGAAGCAACCTTGGAGAGAAAAATGTGGTATATGAATGCAAATTAATAATAACAACAATACATCTTAAGGTCTTAATAAGTAGACAAATTGTCATTACACCCACAGTTTCCCCACACGCCTGTAGTTAGTTAACATATTTTTAATCCTACCACGGCAGCTAACATGAAAACACAAAACTGTTAATTATCAAACAGCTCGGCAATAAAATCTAGCAAAAACCAGGACCAATAAGACATTTCAGTAACATCCAGTTCTACTCTGAGTTTCAAGGTTGATCCAAGATGTCATCATGGGTTTCCCACATCTTCCCCCCCAAACCAATGTGATAATAAATCTCAATTATTTATTGGGTTCCCAATGTTACTGAACATGGTCACTTGATCCAGAACTGGAACACGGAAGTTCAAAACTCAGCAAGTGTTTTAAGAAGCATAAATAACTGTCCTCCCAGGTTGAGTTTTTTATCTCATTTGGTTTGCAGTGCCTAAGATTTCTGACCTTGGCCAGTCACTCTCAGCCTAAGTGACCTCACAAGCTAAAAAGGCGTGTGACCACCAGCGCTGGCAGCCATGTGGGCTCTGTGTGTGCCCCCCATCTGCCCAGTCCACCAGGGGGCTGCAACACTTGCCCTGCCCTGGGTGCCAGCAACCCACAGTATGCCACCACTCCCTCCTTTTACGTATCAGGCAAGTGTCATCTTGATTATCTCGCTGTTGCTTCCTGAATCCTTTTTTCCCAACAAGCTCTTTAAGTGGATATTTTCTTTTACCCCAGAATGTGTCTGTTTTGGATTCAAAATCCTTTTCATATATTGAAGTGCTTTTCAGATTTTTTTTTTGCTGTTAAATTTCTATGAGATGTTTCGGAGGAAGTGAGTCACAAATGCAATCATGTAATTAATATGTTGTGACTAAGGATTCTGCCAGCTAATTATGCCCTGCCTGGAAAAGATGAACCTAAAAAGCTTTTTCTGTTTAGCCTGAAGACCACCTCCCTCTAAAATAAAATAAAATCAACTGATACACAAGATAAAAGTCCTTGAGGCTGCAGAATAGCGCGCGGGGGGGGGGGGGGGGGACACACAACTAACTAAGGAAACACTCATATACTGTAGTTGCAACTTTAGAAAAACTTCCTATTCAAATAATGCACAATTTTACAAACCTCTTTCACATCCTACCGTGGAAATATCTCCCCCCCCAAAAAAACCTATAATGCCGACAATATATTGGGATCTAAGGGAAGCTGAATGTTGGGAGATTCAGGAAGCTTGAACATCAGACATATTGAAAACCTTCAATGAAGGAGAGTCCACCACCTTCCACCTTTATGGCAGCTCCCCCCCCCCCCCCAATGATGGAGAATACTGAGAGCTAATTCTGCATAAGAGATGGAGCATCTCCCTTAAGAATAAGGGTTGTAGCATTTGGGACAGAATTCTTAGTTTAAGGAAACTTAGGAAAAGCCTACAGAATTATGCCTGGCAAAGGGGAAGTCGATAGAGAAGAGTTTTTCCTCCCTCTAACATAACTCTAGAACTTGTGGACACCCAATGAAGCTGAGTGTTGGGAAGATTCAGGACAGATAAAAGGAAGTCGTTCGTCACACAGCACCTAGTTAGCCTATGGAACTCACTCCCACAGGAGGCAAGGATGGCTACTAGAGCAGATGGCTTTAAAAGACGGAACAAATTCATGGCAGGTGATAAGGCTATCAACGACTGCTAGCTATGATGGTTATGGTCTGCCTCATGCTTCAAAATAGCAGTGGCTGGAAACCAATGGAGAGGAAAGTAACTCTGCCAAAAAAAAAAAGAAAAAAAAAGATGAGATTTGTTTGGCATGACTTGTTTTTGAGAAACCCATGCTGGGTCTTAGTAATCACAGCTTCCTTTTCTTGATGCTCACAGACCCACCGTTTAATGATCTGTTCTACAACCTTTCCTGATATTGATGTCAAACTGATCAATTGGTACTTGTCAAATGAGCCTCGCCAACTTAGAGATTGACCAGCGATGCTCCTGCAAATGATCTCAAGCTGCGGGATGAGGGTTCAGGCAATCCCTGAGGTACCCTGGGCCTAAGATGTTCAGGTCTTTGTAACTTAATACAAGGAACTTTAGCCTAGCTCGGTAAGAGATGGGCAGCCAGTGCAGCTGTTTCAAAGATGGCGTCAATTATCCTCAGCCTGAAGCTCCCATCAGCAATCTGGCTGCAGCATTCTGCCCCAGCTGGAGCTTCTAAACGGGCCCAAGGGCAGTACCACATAGAGCTCATTGCAGTAATCCAGCTTTGAGGTTACCAATGCATGTCCTACAGTGGCCCAGCTGTCCCTGTCCAGGAACTGGCTAACCAGACAAATATGTTAAGTGTTAAACCACTTTTGAAATTGCTGACTTGGGGAAGGAATTGGGGGAGGGGGGTCACCTAACAACTCTAACTATCCTCAACAAACTACAATCCCCGGGATGTTTTGGAGGAAGCCATGGCTGTTTAAAGTGGTATGATACTACTTAAAATATATAGTCCAGTTGGGCGACACACCCCAGAACCTTCCTGACCCTAGTGAAGTTGGAGAGCTTTCAAGCACACCACACTCAAAGAGGTTTGCAACCGAGCTAAAGGGTCCCAGGGTCTCACAGCATTGCATTATAGAGATGGAAGGAGCACAAAGAGTCACCTAGTCCAGTTCACAGCAATGCAGGAATCTCAGCTAACAAATCATAGACCTGTTGCTTCCCCGCTCCTCCACATGCAGCTGCTGGGTGACCTTGGGCCAGTCACACTTCTTTGAAGTCTCTCAGCCCCACTCACCTCACAGAGTGTTTGTTGTGGGGGAGGAAGGGAAAGGAGAATGTTAGCTGCTTTGAGACTCCTTCGGGTAGTGATAAAGCGGGATATCAAATCCAAACTCCTCCTCCTCTTCTTCTTCTTCTTCTTGTGGGCCTGGACTCCTAGTCTAAGGTTACGAGATTTTTTTCAATGAATCCGGGGACACTTTTCAACTTCAGTAGGAATGACAGAATTTTGTCTGGGGACTGATTTGTAAATCCAGGGACTGTCCCCAGGAAACAGGGACCTCTGGTAACCTTATCCTAGGCACAAGGGTCATACAGGTGGGCAGAGTATCGTGTTCAAATCAGTACGCATCACGGAGCGGAGAGGGCTAAATGCTATCTGGAGCCTGGGATATTATTAGCCGTGCCTCGAGCAAGCCTCAAACTGCCTTGAGTGGGCGGATCAAGTAATATTTAATACAAGGAGTCAAACCAGTTGGGTAAAGCACAATCCTCTCTTGCACACTTTCCCATGCAAGAAACTACAGGATTCTCCTTTGGCCAATTTAACTGACTTTAATCATTTTCCTTGCCTTTGGGATACTCTGTGGTTGTTCTTATAGTAATGGGAGGAGAGAAAACAGAAAACACAGAATCCCCAAAAAAGAGCCTGCTCATTGGGATGTTTTTACTTCAAGTAATATTTTCCTTTCTAAACTACCTAGGCATGAAGAATCAAAAACAATGGGTGCTTACTTGATATGGGATATTTTGCAAGTTTCTGGTCCCTGGTGATGGTGGGGCCTCCTTTGACAACATGGCAAGAGAACACTGTCTGCAACAACACCCACCAACTGCTGGTGTGGCACAGTGATTACAATGCCAGGCTATGACCTAGGAGACGACAGTTAAATCCCCCCTCAGCCATGAAGCTCAACTGAGTGACAGCTTAACCTACCTCACAGAGTTGTTGTGTGAATGAAATGAAGAGGTGGAGAACCATGTGCACCACACCTTCAGCTCCTTGGAAGGAAGGTGGGATAAAAAGGAGATAATAATTGTATAAAAAGCTCTACCATTTAGGCTTCATTTGTCTTCAGTAGATTTTTTGACATGTGTGGGTAGAGCATGAGACTCTTAATCTCAGGGTTGTGGGTTTGAGCCCCACATTGGGCAAAAAAAAAATCTGCAATGCAGGGGGTTGGACTAGATGATTCTTGTGGTCCCTTCCAACTCTACAATTCTATGATTACACACACACACACACACACACACACACACACACACACACACACACACAGAGTTCATAAAAATAAAAAAGAGAGCTGCAGGGTAGACCAGCCTTTGGCAGCCTGGTGCTCTCCCAATGCATTTGACTGACAGACAGACAGACTTACTTACTTACTTACTTACTTACTTACTTATTGCATTTATAGAATTGTAGAATCATAGTTAGAAGGTACCCTGAGGGTCATCTAGTCCAACCCCCTGCAATGTTTACACACAGCAAGATTCCAAAACTGGGGGGTAGGGTTTGCAGGTTCTGGGATAATCTCATAACATTTGAGAAGCACTGGCATAAGAAACCCTAACTCCAGTCTGATTACATCTCACAAGTTCTAAAATTTGTTATCTAGTTTAAAAATAAAATAAAATAAAATTACAAAGTGTAAGTGAGTCCTGCAAAACAAATGTTGTAGTGTGTCCTTCCTTCAGAAAGCAGATTCCCTGGTTCTGGATTCTAGGCAGCCATTTCCCCACAAAGCAAAAGATTCTGCTCCTTCCCTCCCACCCGACTTTCTTTTCGACTATCTTCCTCTACATTCCATGGCTACTTGGCATACTCAAATGGAACTGCACTCTTATGTTTAATGTTTCATTCATATTTCAAATTTCTTCAAAGGAGCTCAGCATAAAGTACATTGTTCACCACCTCCACTTTTTATCCTCACATCCACCCTGTGAGGAAGGTTAGGCGAAGCCTGATGGGCTTCATGACTGAGAAGGAAAGTGAAACCTGGTCTCCCAGGTGCTAGTCTAACATTCAAAACGCTACACCAGTTCTTATTTCCCCCCTTAAGGTGTTTATTCTTGCAACTCATTCAAGATTCAAATTCCGGGACTGATCGCTTGCCAAAAGATTCATAGAAACTACATAAAGGCTTGCCTGGTGAATGAAACAGAAGTTTTTAAACAAAGTTGTAGCACTTCTTGGGCCTAATGTTAAACATTGCTGAATACTGAAATGTTTGTTAGGAGCTGTTACCACTCTTCTGCACTTGTTTACTCTGTTTGGCAAATGCACCTCTGTCTAAATTCCTTATCTCTTCCCAACCATCAGGATTAAGGGAGTGGGGCAAGCTGTTGCATATATTGCAGAACTGTTCTGGCATGCGATGCAGTCCCATAACGAGACCACAGTCCTGAAGGTTTTGCAATGCTAGCACAGGACCTAAGGGAGTACGGTTATACCACTTGGAAAGCTTCAGAAAGAGAAGTCTGAATGTCGCACAAAATCCAGTATAGATATTCTTTCATGGATCTATGGAATAATTCCATTATGGATATTCCAGAAGCGTTTTGGATTTCTTCCTTGCAAGGACATCAAGATGAGCACAACACGCTCAAGGTGTGTCTTCCTCTTCACAAAGAATGAGGGGGTAATGCAGTCTGCAAAGGGTGTCGGGGATCTCCATATGCTTTTCTGCACAAATGCTTAGAATCAGATGCTCCATTGCAGGAACCGCAGAAGATGGGAAGGTTTGGCCTTAAAAAAAACCTTTTCATATCAATTTGTATTAACCATCAGGGATACAATTAAACTTATCTTGTTGAAATTTATTCATGCATTTAAACAATATTTCAGTATGTGTTTTAGTATTATGCTTCCATATACAAATACGATTATTTACTTCCGGAAGTATTTGCATTTGCTGGGATAGTCATTTAAAATGTTTTTATATTACTGGTGGAGGGAGAAAGAGGCAGGTTTTGGGGGGGATGGGGAACAAGATGTTTTAAGAAGAAAAGCTGAAAACGTATGTAGATAAAAGTACAGCAACCCCCTAATTGGCAGAAATGACTGGCAGAATCCGAGACCAGGGAGAAGAGTCGGTGAAAGAAGACTGGAAGAAATTTAAAGACTATTTACAGAAATATTGTAAAATTAATGAATCTTAGAAGGATGTTGGATAGAAACTAAGTGGTTTCCAGCTGTAATGCCTTAAGAGATACGAAAAAAGGTTCATAAATGGGTAAAAGCTTAATGGTAAGGATTTGCTGAACTAACAAACTGAACTGGAATACAAAAAAGGGAGGTACAAGGAGGTCCGGGGAAATAAGTGTAAGGAAGATATACTATGGAAAATTAATGTGTTTTTAACTGTTTTTATTTTGTATGTTTCTTTTTATCTTTCATTTCTTTGTTAAGGGTTTTTTTTATTCTTTTTTCTGTATTTTGTATTTTCTTGTATTTTTATTTTTTGTTTTTGTGTAATTCCTGTATTCTTTGAAATTTTAATAAATATCATTAAAAAAAAAAAAAAAAGTACAGCAACCCTGTGAGGCAGGTTGAGAGAGGGAGTGACCAGCCCCGAAGGTCACATCCAGTGAGTTTCATGGTTGAGTTGGGTATTTGAACCCTACTCTATCCCTTTATTTCCCCCACCCCAGTCTTGAAGGCTCTTTTTACATAAGCTGCAGGCCACCTTTCCTTGCTTCCATGAGCTGCTGCTCTCAATCTCTGACCCAAAAATGATCTCAGAAATACATTACATGCACGTCCTTCCATTACATCCTTCCCTGTGTGCTGACTAGATAAATGAGATCACTTTGGAGAAGAGGAATTGCACTTATTTGCAATTCAGAACAACAGTATTTGGAACAGGAAGATGGTAGTATTTTGCTGCCCTAGTAGCTATTATACGAATCCCATATTACATTGTCAGAGTCCACAACATATTGTGCAGCCACTGCAGGGTCCAGAAATACTCAGGAAGGTCAGCTGTTTAAAAAATTAGAGCACAGTTCAGAAAGATCTCTTGTTGTTGTTGTTGTTGTTGTTGTTGTTGTTAGTTTATCTATATGCCACCCATTCTGGGCGACTTCCAGCAAATTATAGAAACACAGCAAAACATCATGCATTAAAAACTTCCATGCTGGCCACATGACCCAGAAAAAACTGTCTGTGGACTAACACTGGCTCCCTCAGCCTGTAAAGAAAGATGAGCGCCGCAACCCCAGAGTCGTTCGCAACTGGACTTAACTGTCAGGGGTCCTTTACCTTTACATACAGGGCTACATTCAGATGTCTTCTAAAAGTCCTATATCTCTTTGACATCTGACAGGAGGGCATTCTACAGGGCAGGCAAGACTATTGAGAAGGGCCTCTACCTGGTTCATTGGAACTGCACTTCTCACAGTGAGGGAACCACCAGAAGGCCCTTGGAGGTGGAACGAACGATGGGGGTGGAGATGTTCCTTCAGGTATACAGGGCTGAGGCGTCTTCCTCTTTTTTCAGCCCTCATTAGGGCCATTTGCTCATCCTCTCCACCCCACAGAAAATGCACACTTTCTGTGCCCGTATCAACCTCTACATCAGCCTCTACACCTAGAAGCAAATTCATGTTAGTGACCTTTCAAGCACTGTGACAAGCTAGAGCTTTGGGTACAAAAAGTACCCAAAGACACTGCATTTCTGAGATATTTTTATGTTTCTCATCCCTCAAGGAAAAGCAGAATTTCCTTCCAAAATTCTCCATCATCACTGTGGGGCCCTAGGATCTCAGGGTCTTAGCATGCCAAGAGCTTAACATGAGTCAACAGTGTCATGCAGCAGCAATAAAAAGCTAGTGTGGTGACAGGCTGCATCAACAGAAGTCCAGTGTCCAGATCAAAGGAAGTCATAGTATCATTTATTCTGCCTTGGGTAGACCACACTGGTCTACCCCACCGGAGGTCCTGTTTTCTGGGCATTACAATTTAAGAAGAGAATTGACCACTTGGAACACAGAATCATAGAATGTGCAGAGGAGGGCAACCAAGGTGATCAAGAGTCTGGGAACCAAGCCTTAGGAGGAATGGTTGAGGGAGTTGGGTATCTTTAACTTTGAAAAGAGGAGACTGAGAGGAAATATGATCTTCAAATATCTGAAGGGTTTTCATGTGGAAGGTGGAGCAAGCTTGTTTTCTGGAGGGTAGGACTCAAACCAACAAATTCAAGGTACAAGAAAGGAGATTCTGACTAAACATGAGGAAGAACTTTATGGTGGTAAGAGCCATTTGACAGTGGAACAGACTCTCACGAGAGGTGGTGGACTCTCCTTCCTTGGAGATTTTTAAACTTGTTGTGTCCAGAACTAGACACAGTTGTTTAAGGACAAGATAGCCTGTAGCAAGCTGGTGCCCCCCCCCCCCGATTCTTTGTACTACAGCTCCCAGCGTCAAACAGCTATGCTGGCTGGGAGCTGGTGGGCTCTGGAATCCAAAAACATGGAGGGCATCAGATTGGGAAAGGCTGCAGCAGGCTGTACAAGGGCAAACAAAGCCAACTCATTTCTGTCCCTGGACTCACCTCTCCCTGAGGCAATGTATATGTGTAAATTCTCTCTTTACACCAATTTGCAGGAGCTAGAGAGTGTGAGAATTCTCATCCCACGACACTCCTGGGATTGCTTGTCCCTAGTGCGAGAAAGGAAACAGTTGGCTGAGACCTGAGGTTTATAATTAATATCTACCAGTGCCCTTTCCTGACCAAATAAAAAGGCAATTAGGAGGAGAATCTAATCAAAAACTGCTTGGCTTTAAAAAAAAAAATCCTTGTAACCCAATGTTTGCTCACATTTATTGAAAAATGCATTATCCACAATAGAAACTGTAAACTGCCTTTTGCAATTTGAAAGCTGCCCATCTTCCAAATCTCATTCCAGTCAGCTGGGGGTGGGGGTCAGGAATAGGATAGTTTCACACATTCATGCAAACAGAAAAAAGGTGGGCAGATTCTCATTTTGTGATTTAGCTCACAGAAGACCCATCCCAGGCTTCAGAAAGCTACAGCGGCCTTGCCTGCTATTACGCCCTCTTGCTACTTGCAAGGATTCCTGCTCCTGTTGTTAATTGGTGATTTATTATGGTGTGGGCTTAATAGGTTTCGTGCTCATATTGTTTGAGGCTTTAT